GATTAGCTTTAACCTGAAAAGCGACTTTCATACTCAAATTTTACTCTTTTTGGTGAGTTCCGTGGTGTTGCTCTAAGAATCAGTACTTTTCACTTTATCGGTTATTTGAATCACGAGGCTATTTGTGCCTAAGTCTTGTCAACAAGAAGACACCAAAAACTTTGAAGAGTGATTTCTATTCTTAAAATTGACCTTAATTTTTATGCGAATTAAGCAGTTAAGAGGTTGAAGAATTTCCAGTTGTCCCACCAAAACAAAATATGTTTTTTTTTAGTGGACATTTGGGCGATATATGAAGGCATAAGTATATATATATATATATACGTTGGTGTAAATATATGACATTCTCAACTCTAAATCCCTACTGAAAACAGTTCAAAACCATCATCCTATTGATCATGCGAATGTCTTATCAGAAAATTGACACCACTGGTCATCTGGTATCGATCACAATTTAGACAGGGCGTTTTCTGCGAAATAGGTTAAAAGCACTGGCGTCGTTGAAAACGTATCCTTATAATTTACATCGTTACTTGCGAGTGAGCCGTCGCCACAGTTACATGCGCGATTAGTTGGAGCGACAGAAGGTACTTGATTTGAGTTAAACTGGTTGGACCTATTTGATCGTGATATGGTTACTTTCTGAACCTCGGACATTGAAGCATATTAGTGATTGACGTTTGACCTCACCTCCAAATTATGACTTTGTAAGATGGTGACCTTTTGTCAAGAACAGTTGGGTTAAGCTGAATTGTAGTTGACATGTATGAATTTTTCAGGTCACTACCAGAAACCTACGCTTCTCATAGTGATGTCCTGTGGAAGAACAGAGATGGAAAACAATTATCGTTAAAAGAAGGCAAACTATTTCATGTTTGTAACAGTTTTGATGATTCTGTGAGACTATCTGTGATACAGCATGTGACTCAAGGCCCAAAATAGGAGAATTTGGTAATTTTCATAAAGATGTGAATAACACACCAGATGGCGTTGTTCTGTGCTCAGATGAGCTACTTTTTTCAGAAACCTGAAGTACCAAAGTGTAATAGTTGCTGGATCTAGCTGGTCGGTCTCAAACCCACTCACAGCCACAGGTACCTATCTTTATTTTACCTGCTAAAGTTGGGTGTGGGGATCAACAATACCTCGTCAGATGAGTCAACTGTTGTTAGGCAGGAGTCCACGCGGATCCCACTATACCACACGTCTTTAGGCGCTGCTACGGCCGAGAAACCTGGCCCGCTCGAGGTTGGCCCAAAATTCGGGACGCTTGCCGGTCCGGCATCAAGACGAGATCTGATTGGTCAACAATCTGGACCCAACAGCCAATCATGACTCAGTATTGGCCAAATGCCGGTTGCCAATGGCGCA